TGGATCCTTTCATTCCTGAATTTTGGTTTCAGTGAGTTTTGATGTCCTCGATTAAAGAGATGTTACGGACAACAAGGCTGTCAAGCTCTGTATTTCTGTGCTATTTTTATACGTTTGGTTTTCATTTAATGCATAAGAAGTGTTAGTAATATCTAAATGTGACGTAAATGAAATATACTGAGTCTGGGTAATGTAATGTAGAATAAATAAACTACATTAAATGAATGAAAATTAGACGAGGTGTACTTTTCGGACTTCCATATAAATGTGCTTTAACTATGGACATTATTTTACAGCTTTGACACAAATCGATCTTCAGATAGAGAGCAAAACGCATCAGTCAAATTATGGATTCATAATTATGATCATGACAAATTACTTTGCTATTTGTACTAATCGATGACTTCCTCGTATATAATTCCGTGGATAATTTGAGTTCCAAGTGCAGTAATTCCGACTGTGCTTACAGGTTTCTCTCGCACCCGGTTACTGGCCCATAAGTGATTATTAGAATACGAGTTGGATAGTCTTAGGCATCACTAGCGAGAATACATAATATGACCTTCGGATCACTACAATTACTTCTGATAGTCCGAAGTAGATCTGGTTTGTAAGAGTGGATATCAAACCACCTTTACCTGCCGGATGCCTTCAACCTCTGATTTCCTAAAAATAATATCGTCAAATTCTAAACAATATATTTAATGACAAAAGTACGTGAAGAATTTGAAAGTGAACATCGTCTTAATTTATATGCCTTAAAGACGACTATGGAACTCTGGGGTGCTTATGTGAAATAATACATGACTAAATAAGATGGCCATTTTTGAGCAGATAATTTTCCAGGCTGATTAATGAGACATAGATTATGCTAACTATATATTTTGCTTAGTTAGCTTCAATGAGCCCAGAGAACTACATATTTTGTGGTGATTACATTGTAGTGACTCACATTTATCACGAGAACACGACTGGTTTAAGAAAAACAATTATTATTATAACCAACTGTACCAGTGTTTGTTTTAACGTGCCTTTGTTTGACTGTGCTAATGACAGCTATTTTGTGCTTCCATTCTTTTACTTACACACTTTGATTGTAACTTCGCGTGAATTCGGTTACGTTCTGTAACCAAGCTTGTATCCTGGCACGATCTCGGTATCCTTTCTATGCCACGAGATCGCCAGCGAATACATCTCGACTTGGTCCATTAATTGCCTTCTGATATTTGGCTTCTCGGGGATTTTATGGAGTCATTTGGAACGAGCTTCTTACGCCTTCTGATCTAATTGGCACGTGTTTCTTGGTAGCGGTGTTCATAGTTAATCTCAACTCGACGCCACGCTACAATTGGTGACCCGTATTTTGGAACACGCCTCAACATCTGGTCAAATCTTTCAAAGAAGCCAATTCGGTGAGTCTATGATTTATCTATCCACGTCTGTCGTATATTTTAATATTTAATATATAATATACGCGACATGACGGATAACGATAAGAATAGTATTAATATAATAGACTCACACGTATGTGTACCGAATCCTTGTCACTTTTTATTCGCGTGATGATGAATTCCACGCTTTATTCGAGAAATGTTACCCTATTAACGATTCTCCTCGCTGACCCGGCTGCTTGGTACGGAATGCATACGCATAAGCATATCCGTCTACCACCCAGCACCAAATGGTTGAACGGTTTCACTGCCAACTTAAAAGTGTTCTACGAGCACACGAAAACGGCAACTGGTACGAAACCTTACCGTTCGTTCTTTTAGGGGTGAGAACGAGCTTAAAGGCAGATATCCAATGTTCCGCCACTGAACTTGTATACGGCACGACATTGCGTCTGCCCGGAGAATTCTTCACACCACGGAGCAGACCTGATTTCGGTAAATCAGACTACGTCCATCGACTGTCTGCATTTGTGCGAACGCTGTCTCCGGTGTCAACTCGAATACAACATCGACAGGTCGCTCTCCCTCAAGAGTTATCTACCTGTTCACATGTTTTTGTACGAGTAGATTCGGTACGCAAACCTTGGCAACAACCTTTCGAAGGCCCTTTTCACGTGATCGCTCGTCACGAAAAGACCTTCAAGGTTGATCGACACGGCCGCGTCGAGATCGTCAGCATTGATCGTCTCAAACCAGCACACGTCGATGACAGTGCCCTATCTGGTAACCTGAGATTCAATGCTAGACCAAGCAAACCTGCTAGCGGGATCCTCAAGCTATCTTCAGGTCCCACGCTAGATACATCTGAGACCTCACTCTCACGTCCCAGTTAACAGCACGCGTCATCTGCACCGTCTACGGACGAGACGATAGTCTCACGTCCAGATCAGCAGGCCACACCGCCCTTGACTTCGGATGAGATTGCAGGCTCACGAAATACGAACGAGACTGACGTCTCACGTTCCGGTCGCCGAGTACGGTTACCCGTACGCTTCCGCGAATAGCCGCACAGTCAACAACCGATACGGTGTAGGATTATTCCTATACTACACGTATGCTACACTCTTCTCTTTTTTGATTTTCTTTTTGTTTCCTGAGCCCATGCCTTCGACCATCTCCGTTTGGTTCCGTCGGCTTCAGTCAACTTTGGCGAAAGCTGGCCTGGTCACCCATGCTCTTGTCAACGTACTCAGTCGATATATTGGTTTCGAATGCTTGGCATACGCTTTGTCTCGAACCTGGTCGTTATGGTCGCTTCTGGTTCATCGGCTCAACGTGGTTTCGTCCTACTTCTGCAGCGTTTCTGGTCCGGACCCCTACGAACGCCCTCTTCAGATTCTGGATACAAACCACTGGTGTAGCATGCCAACTCAAGCAACAAATACAACACATCGCTCCTGGTACCGTTCTCCGAAAACGACCTTCGTTAGCAACTCGACGATCAACGATCGCTTTCCTGTTCGCCAATTCTTCCGTCCTACAATCGCTCGTCAGCCGATCAGTCCCACGATTCAAACCGCTATTTATCGAAAGTGTAAACCCTTTCTAGCGGGGGGCTCCTGTAGTGACTCACATTTATCACGAGAACACGACTGGTTTAAGAAAAACAATTATTATTATAACCAACTGTACCAGTGTTTGTTTTAACGTGCTTTTGTTTGACTGTGCTAATGACAGCTATTTTGTTCTTCCATTCTTATACTCACACTTCGATTGTAACTTCACGCGAATTCGGTTACGTTCTGTAACCAAGCTTGTATCCTGGCACGATCTCGGTATCCTTTCTATGCCACGAGATCGCCAGCAAATATAACTCGACTTGGTCCATTAATTGCCTTCTGATATTTGGCTTCTCGGGGATTTTATGGAGTCATTTGGAACGAGCTTCTTACGCCTTCTGATCTAATTGGCACGTGTTTCTTGGTAGCGGTGTTCATAGTTAATCTCAACTCGACGCCACACTACAACATATCTTAGTTTGACATCTGGAATATATCAAGGCTCATTTAGAGTACGGAACTTAGTACGTCTTTTCTGAACATAAAACAGATATACTAGTAAACTTTTAGGCTGCTGAGATTAAAATAATAGCAGAGCTTTCTGACCTCACCACCAAGGAGAGCTTGAAATGCTCTTTCATCTTTTTGGCACGACAGAGTGTAATCGTCAAATTTATCCGTGCAAACATAAACTCAAGGGCTTGTATGAATGATTTTCTAATGAGTTTTTTTGTGTGTTTGTGGTAGACCAAAAAGTATATTAACCGAAAAACTGCAATAAAGTTATTACGTCCAACAGTTAATGTAGCGATAAACAACGCATAAGATAATAACACAAATAAAAGTTTAAGGACATTACTTAAATCAGCAGGTTGACGCGCGTCCTGTTGATTTTGGCACCAGAATTCACAATTATAGGTAAATAATAATTCCAATGAGACGATATGGCTTCAGTAGTATATCCTAACGTAGAATGTAATGTAAATATTACAACAGTCTATAAATATAGATGACAGTTAATTAATCGTTCCATTATCACATCCAAAAACATGATAGAACCAGAGACATATGTATAAAAGTGTATTTAATTATGAGCAGTTAACAATGTCATGCTATGTGGGATTCAAAAACGGAAGGAAGGATGTAAGTATCTGTTCAGTTCCCCCTCTAATAAATCAACAGAAGGGGTAAACATAACTCCCTTCTGTAATCAGCTGCACAAGTTGATAACAGGACAACGTACCTAAATTTGGTGCATATCCATCTTATTTCTGGCTTTTCAGTTCATTTTCTATGCCCTCTATATTTCACTGACAAACGACTCAAAGGTTCGTTACTTCTGTACTCAACTAGAAAGGACTTCTGAAGCCTTGTGATGATACTTTCAAACGAAGCATGAAATACTGCTTTTCAGTGATTGAATAGATTAATATAAGTACACAAACCTCTGGCTGTTTACCATTGAACATCGAGTCGGCGGTAGATCTGTACTGTGCGCTATGTTTCCGCAGTGATTGGGAAACCGTAGTTGTTTTCGAATTCTTCAGCACAATGCAACTGGCCACAGAGTGCTGACTTTGATTACTAATATATCACGTCTTGTCCCGTAAGCGAGTATTACTTCCTCAGAGAAATCGGTATTTTTGAGCGGGTTTTACTACTTAATACCTGATCAAATAAATTCTTAACACATTTTTAAATCCTACTTTTTTGTAACTCGTCACAGGCAGTTTTTCATTAGCTTCAATGTAGTGGTGGTTAATTACGTATAGTAAATATCTCATCACTTTTTTTCAGTCCCGGTCAAATTTAAGAACATTAATTTCCTCGTGGTACTGTGCTGAAGGTATTTATAAATAAATTTAAGCTCACTGATGTTCATCACTGTAGAAAGCTCAAGAAGGCACCTCACGTGAATGTCTCATCGTTTTAATCGTAGCGAACGTTCTCAGGTGCTTTCTGTGCAAACATCTAAACCAAAAATATTTTTATCTCTGCTGTTTTTGTTCTAAAAATCTCAACTCTACATCAAATGTGGGATCCGGGGTGAATGCAAGTAAGGCTTATAGGTATAGTTGGACTACTACTGTCGCTCGTCCTAAACAATAAAGGTCTAGGTCCTTGTTTCTTAATCCTCTTCTGTGTCGAGAAATGGCTCATTCCTCTTAAAAAGAAATGTGTAGGGTCATACAGGCAGTATATAATCAGCTCTGTGAGGCATAAAACAACTGGAATCCATTCCACTTGCAGGAATCTTGCTATCAAATATAAAGCTCATATTAGCATCAAACTAGGCAGACTTTGGGTTGTCAGAGCCTACCTCATAATCTCAGTGGTTCTTACTCCGCAGGTCGCAAATTGTTAATGATATCTCTGGACAAGGAACATTTCGTTAGCTTTCAGTGTGCTCCTGATGTAAACCAACGGGGTATATTTTGGAGAAACTCGAATTCACTGAAGTATTTCCATTACGCATAACCTCACCCTCTCAACCAAAGACAATTGATGTCGTTGAGTTCACTAGAAATGAGTGCAATGATATATAACTTTCTCCAGAAGTATTAAGATCAGTCAAGGTAAACGTAAACCCCTATGGGGACATGATAACAATTTAAAGTGGGTTTATCAAGCCACCTTATAGCTGATAATCTTATGACTCTTTAGCAACGAGATTTATTTTGGATCTCCTTTCTGGTACTTACGAAACTCAACCCCATTTGACACCGAGGGGGGAAACTAGGAGCGAGGGCATCAAGTTAGTGAAATCTACTCCCTTAAATTCAGAAGACCATAAAAATCAACCTGCTAAAAACTGAAACCACTTGAAAACTTTTTTCACAACAGCTAGGCGATGGGTGTTTCCTACTGATTCACTGTCAATACAACGATGAAACGGAGTGTACTTTCAATTATTGATAAATTCAGGGTTTATAGATGATCAGGACCCACACGTATTGGGTTTTTGTGAAGCCCAGGTTGCTATTAGTAAATGTCATAGTTGATTTTACATAAACGATCCCAGGATATTTCACAAGGATCGATCAGATACCGTAGTTAAAGTTGTACTTTGCAAACTTTAAGGTGAATTCGGAGACCCGATAGTGAAATTCAGCTCTGACATGACGGGATAAGATGATATTATTTGGACCAATTCTTTTCGTATCAGTTTGCTATGAATTCCGGCCAAGGTGACATGTGCGAAATTCATTCAGTATGACGTCTTAAAGATGGCTTGTGACGTTATCAGACATGGCTCAGAACAGGAGTCAGTGGCGAGAAAGAAACTGAAAGAATCCTTGCTGGGTTGTATCTTTCTTAATTGAACTGGTTCTCCCATCATTATTATAATTGTTATCATTATTTCACTCCCATACACGAATTTCTATTTTTTTTGTTCTTTTTCTATTATACTTTCCTATCCGTGTCTAATATAGCAAGGGGATGACATGTCGACCAAATACATTTTGTGTTTAGAGCTTGAAGTCTTCCTTTACAGCGATTTCTGGTCCTCATCAGTTTAAGGTCCTGTCTGTTAGGCTTTCTAGTTTTCTATAAATGTAGGAAAACTCCCCATCAGTATGTAAATAAATAAACTTCATTTGTGTCATTTATTCAGACAAAAATTGGTTAACCCTTTAAGGTCTTGTCATGTTAAATTCAGTTGGATCTAAGCAATTTCAGTTTTACTTTCCTGTGATGTAGAATCTACACCGTGTAGATATGAGGGGAATTCTCACAGCTAAATTCGTGTGTGAGTTATTAGACATAAATATCTTATCCTTTGGTTTTGTCAGTCACACACCTACAACGCAGGACCAGCACATATGCATCAGTCCAAGTTACCATACCTCATTGACAACGAGATGAACGCCAAATTCATAGAAGCAGTCACTTCAATGATAGTAATATATAAAAGAAATGTTGTGTAGTGATTGTTTAGTCTTGTGGTAGTTGAACGTAATGTTGAGTAGAACACATCCGACACATTCATTAGGTTTATCAAAATTTCTAAAAGTGTTGAAATTAAGTGATTTTGTTTCTTTAAAATTTTCTTTGAAACGGTGCTTATTTTCAGAATGACATCAATCCATGAAGTCACTAACCTATGGCCAACACCATGCAGTGAAATCTCAGCTTCCTGACTAAAGGGAATAAGATAGACAATCAGTCCAGAAATTTGAATAGTGTAATTCAAATCAACTTTATTGGAGCAGCAACATCCACCATTTGTCTCCATGTATTTATTTATTTATTTAAACATAAATATTGGCACAAGGAAGCACCAAATATGTATGCGCCACACAAATTAGATCCCTATAAGGGCTAGAATACTGCCAGGGCGCTCAAACCGAAGTAGGTGATTTTCTTAGGGGACTACTGTCTGAGCCTTTGACCTAAAGGTATAATCCACGAGGCAATTAAGCGACGTTAGATGTGGTCTCATGGTAGCTGGTGACCAACAATAGGTTTATACGCCACTTTCCCCCTCAGGATCCTGAAGCCCATGTGCACGATTGGTTTGGAATCGGGGTTTTCCAACTCCCCTAAGTGGACCCTCCGTGTACACCCAAAGCGCTGGACATTCGCTTTTCGTCCTCTCAGTTTCGTAAACAACACCCTTGTTGCTGCGGAAAGGCAGTGAGTAGGACTTCCATGGCAATGGCTGTATACGTGTGGCCATGTGAGAGCATTTCAAGAGTGAGAGTGGACCCTTCCCACCCTCGGTCGTACCTGGGCATTCGGGGCCCATCTCCCTGTACATATTAGAATAAGACTACTCCGGTTTTATTATTTCTAATTTTAATCCTTCACTTATACGGGTATCACTTTTTCAACCCTTTCTTTTGCCTCACATTAATTTAATAAAAAATATTTACTAATCGCAATGGTTTTTCCTAGTGCATGCAGTCACCATAGCTACGTAATTCTGTATGATAATTCGAAAAATATCTTAATAAAAGAAGCATTTGGATATACTGTATTCTGAGTATATTGTTCTGAGTTAAGAGGGGGATGACTGATAGATTTAAGATAAACCGTCCTTTAGTTTTTGTCTTCTCGTTCTTCACAAATATAACTACAAAATATCCAAGCTTAGCTCGTCCGCCAAGTTATTCTTTATTATATCCTTTAGATATCTCTATTAATGACGGGAGTTCGGAGAGTCGCAATAACTGGTCTGGGGGTCTGTACACCTTTGGGTTTCAGTGTATCAGAATTATGGGCGAATCTTTTGAAAGGCTCTTGTGGAATATCAAAGACGCTTGGTATTTTTGTGTTAATTTTCATGACCCATAGATGAATTTTCTTTTTTGCCTAGTCAGGTTTTTGGGAGCATCGATAACCAAAAATTGGAAGAACGAAAGTCTTTTGTAGAGTCTGAAGTCTATAAGTCATGTGGTTTGGATATTTCTAATGATTGGAGATCTGTGTCACGTGCTAGTGCCCTAGGTATTATTGCAACTTATGAAGCTTTCAAACAAGTGAAGTGGAAAGCAAACTCAGGTTATCGAGCAGGTATGTTTTTAAATGATCTAATAAGATAACACTCGCGGGGTACGATAACTTCATTCTGACGTTTTCTCACTAGCTCAGAGAATTTCCTTCCTATCACTTACTTAAAACGTCTATTAATTCGACCGGCACGTGCATTCGATATTTTAGTAAAACATGAATCCCAATTACTTTTTGTTATATTTAACCGAATTATTCGAGTTATTTCCATTTTACAAAGGCCAGGATACTAACTTAACAAATGAAGTACTTACTTTATCTCGTCATCTCTTTATTAGCTATTTATGATTTGTCATATTTAAACGCCAGAACCACAGAAAAGGTTCACTATGATCTGATTTCTGAAATAGATTATTGTTAGCAGTTCGGTTAAGAAATTATTACCATAATTTGGTTAGAACAATAGAAACCCTTATATATTTAGGAAGGTATTCTAAGATATTGCGATCGATTATTGTGTTCTGTAGAAGGTCCCCAAAAATCAACAGGGGTTGTATAAAGACATTATGGAGCCTAAAGTGGGTGGTTACGTAGCTAAATCAGTAGATAAATTGATGGTAATGAAGGAACAAAGTGTATAAGAGTGTAGTTAGCTGAATTCACTGGATTGAGAGCAAATCTTTGATATGAAATGAAGAGGAGTTTAACCGAAAAATGATTCGATAATTCAGGAGAAGATATTTAAATTCAAGCTATTGGCATCAATCACTGGGTTTTTTTTCTTGGACACAAAAATCTGTTTGTTTGCTATGGCTTCAGCAAGTCTGAAAAGACTTGAGCTCATATGCTTGCCCAATATTCGTCAGAGGATGTTTACTCTCAGGGAATGCAGATCTTTCAAAAATTGTTCATTTTTTATCTTAACATTCTAACTGCTGTAACAGATGCATAATCTAGGGAATATGTTTGCAGTTAACAAAAAATCTGCATTTCAATTTCTGATCAGGTTAACTGTCATGCTCCCACAGGTAGATTTTAATTAGTGGGGAGTTCGGTCAAGTATATCAACTGGATATGATACAAATTTTTGTCATGTTCTACGTTAATTATGACCGAATAACTAACTACCTGTGTAACGTCATCACTTTTAAAGATTACGAGAATGGAGAATGTTTATATTTGACTGTAGATCGATTCATTTTATTGTTTTCAATAGTTCCGTGTCTATAAAAGAATTTCTATGGATATATGTTGTTACTCTAGCACTTTCCAATTTTTAACATTGCTTTTCAAAAACAATCGCTGATGTATATCATTTTAGCTGATTTTATCACTATCACCCCATGTCTACCTGAATAAAATAAGCGAAATCAGTCTAGTTTAGCAAGTCCCAATGGAGTGTTGGGCTTGTTCAAAGCGATCATTGGGTTACTGGTTTAAATCTCGTCCCACTCTCTTCGGTTCGAGTATCTAGGTAGATTAGCATACATACATGAATCTGCACATGGTTACCTATTTGTGTTTATTAGATTATAATTATACCAGTTATTTAGATTGATAGGTTAATAATAAGTCATAATTACTAATTTATTCGTATATTGTATTTCAAACATTTCCATAGATATTCTAAGTTATTTAATGGCTCAAGAGTTTTTTGCCAGTAATTTTGTAGTATAACTTTAGGTGTTTGCTTTGGAGTGGGGTTGGACGGTCCAAATGAAGTTATGAATACATCATCAGGAATTTTAGCCAAGAAATACTCTATTATTGGGCCTCATGCTTTAACAAGAACACTCGGTAATATCCCAGCTGCCATAATAAGTCGAATTTGGGGACTACGAGGACCATGTATGACAGTCAACACCGCATGCGCTGCTGGCCTACATTGCATTGGCGAAGGCTTCCGTATGAGTAAGCAATTTTTAAGCAATTTCAAGTGTACAATCACTTTGTAACCGCTTGCTAGGATTGACGGTTTGCCACATGTACTATACCTGTTAAACAATTATTCTACTAAGACGTTATAGATATTTGATAACCAATCACTGCAGAATATCGCTGGTGTGTACGGTAAAACAACTAAGCAAGCAATTCATTTAACCGTATGATCACCATGGTTAAAACATGTAAATTCACTATCATCATCTTATACGTACGTATACATGCGATAATATAGACAGATAGATGATGAGTAGAGTAGAATTAAAAGGCTTCAAATACGGCTACACTAAAATATAATTGTTTGTTCGAAAGATTTGAAGAACTAAGTCACCCTACATAAGACCACTGAAAAAACGTAAATTAGAAATTAAAATAACTTGTAATTTAATAACTGAGAGTGATATCCACTTGTTTGCTTTCACTATCAATTAATCGCTCGTTTATTTTCGTTTCATATTTCACTAGTTCAGAATAACGAAGCTGATCTGGTTGTTACTGGTGCATGTGAATCTCCTTTGAATGCCTGGATAATCGCTGCTTTTTGTCGATTACGTGCATTATGTACACAATTTAATAATAATCCTGAGAAAGCCTCCCGTCCATTTGATTCCTTGCGAAAAGGATTTGTGTTATCTGAAGGTGCAGCTACAGTTGTATTACAGGCATGGCCTCCTCCAGACAGTTTCTTAATGGAATCATTTATGGAAACACCAAAACCGATAGCTGAAGTTATTGGTTTTGGAAGGTCTGGTAAGTTTTGTTCCAATTTACTGAGATGTGTGATTTTTTAGCATTTATCATAGGATTTTGCATCTCTGTTATCTTGATGGGAATTTAGCTGTGACTTTCTCCTCTTACGGAACTAGTTCCCTCTTAATAAATCGCTTCAAATCTTTATAACTGGTTTATCCATGTGTTTATATTTTCGTTATTTTCGTCAGTAAAAGCAGACACGCAGTAAAAACGTACCCGAAATATTGCTTCCTGCTTTTTTAAACGTTGTCCTAATGGCCATACTAAGACGACTATTCATCATTTAGTAGTAATAAGATGGGTTTGTGTATGCGATGAAATGCACCTTTTTAGTACTAATGATACATACTTTCTAGTATATTCAACTACAGAAATAAATATGAAATATTTATTAAACTGCTTACAAAGTGATAATTGATTGAACTTCACTTATAAGAGTTCAGTCTGCAATTTTCTAAATTACATGGTTCCAGGTTAGTTTTGACTGCAACATTTATTTTACTTACAATTGGCTGATCTATGTCTGACGCACAACACAAGCGACAGAGTTGTAAAAATAAGTTATACTTAAACACCTTTCAACTTTTATTCTGTACTTTAGCAGTTTTTAAATTTTAGGAATGATACTACATTGATAAATTGAATTCATGTAACTCATTTACTAGGCACACTTTTGTGTACTTGAATTTAAGCCACACTGTTTATTGGAGCCTTAGTTATACTACTGGGCTTTTTTAATCGAATTAGATAAAAAGACATATGAACTTGCGGCTTGTTAAAAACCGAGTGTTTAAACTATCAAGCCATCACTTCAGAGCAGTATATTTATTGGAAGTGAATAATTTTCCATGGAAAGAAAATATACATGATTCATAATATGATCTATCGAACGAGTAATTTTCTTGATATTTACTCTTATAGAGTGTATATATTATTAAATTTGGATTCATTTGATCTTATTGTCTACCTGTATATTGCAACTGTACTCTTACTGTAGTGAATAGTACACGGGTGGGGACAATCGAATGTATTTGATACAAAATTACAGAACTTGTTAATAAAATCTAACAACCATATAATAAATGCTCAATTTGCAAAATGTTCACCAATTGTCCCAAAATGGCTCAGACTTCATTGTTCTTGTATTTTCATACAAATAGGAGATGCACATCATTTGGTTGCACCTGATACAACAGGAAATGGAGTACTTCGAAGTATGCTAAATGCCTTCAGAGACTCAAAACTTAAACATTTCAATCAAGTAAGAGCTGTTTTTGAATAGTTAAAATATTAATTTATCTTCATTTATTTAATGTTTTCTGGAACAAAATTCTATTTTCATTTATAGTTCACACCAGCAAAAATAAAAGTAATTAAAGTTGACTAAATTTGGTTCTACTTCCAGGGGATACTTTTAAATGTGAGTTTGTTTATGGTAATTGTGATTGAATCATATTGAAAGAGAAAAGACCGAACTAATTTATTGTGAAATTAGTTAAATAAGAATTAACTATAATAACCATATAGTTTTTTCTTCTGATGTAATTGTCATTCTCCATGCAGAAAATTAACGGTGCTGCTAAAGTTAGAAAGAACTTGTAGAAAACTCTTCAATCATTGCCGTCTAAACGCGTTCGGCTGATTCTTGTTGTAAAAAGATATTCAGTTATACATTCTTTACTATTTGATTTATGAAAGATATCTTTAGTTATTACTAGAATGTTACTCGAGGTTCAACTATTTGTCTGTGGGTTCGTACGTTGCCTTAATTGGATTGATTCAAACAACTAGGTGTAATCATGGTTTATGATTCAAAGTATATAGCCTAAAGCTGTGTACACTAACTTTTAATTGGTTATTGAGTTGGACTATCACATCATACCCATTCTATATTACGTCAATTTTACCAGTCATTTATCATAAACATAGTTAAATACAGTGTTATCTCTGATTAACTCACTATTACTTTTCCAGTCTTTTAATTTCACGTAGTTTTTTCTCTATTTGAAGTTTGTTTACGAAATTGAAAGGACGAAAAGCAAATGTCAGCGCTTTAATCGGTTTGGTGGGTACGGAGGATCTACCTAGGGTAGTTGGAAAACCCTGATTCCAAACCAATGGCACATATGGGCTCCAGTACCCTGAGGAGACAAAAGGTGTACAAACCTATTGTTGATCACCGGTTACCGTGGGACTGAATCTCCTAACGGGCGTCTAAGCACATAGGAGAGTCATATGGGTGGCTGTTGAGGATATCTTGGTCGCAAAATAGATTACGATGACCGCCTACTGCAACTTTTCTCAGCCTACAACCTGTTTCCGGCCAGAACTAACTTCCGGCACAATAATCGCCGATGTACTACCTGGTGTCCTCCCTCTGTATCTGAAACCTGGACTCAGACTGATCATATCACAATCAGCTACTGCTGGTGTGGCTGTGTACAAGATTTCCGCTCCTTTTGTAGTACTTATCTGGACTCTGATCATGCCCTTGTTTGCGCTAATCCTATCTTACGTTTCAGTGGCCAACAAATTCATCACCATAAAATGATCGATGTCACAAAATTGGTTGCAGCATCTGTTGCAACTAAATATCAAACCCAGCAAGGTTCAAGGCTAAGTATTAGCCCATCGAAAAGTGTAGATGAGCACTGGGTGCAATTGCATGACGCCATGAAAATGACGAGTAAAGTCGTTTGCGACATCTCGGAACGTCCTGCTTATAAGCACTAGGTTTCCACAGGTTCCTCACAACTCATTGAAATATGCTGGTCTACTCCGAGTAACCGCGCACTTGACCATAAACAAAGGTTTTCGCGTGACAGAATTGTGCAAAAGCTTGCTTAAGGACCGAGAAGCCCGGTGGTTGGAGCATTCTAACGAGTTGCAATCAGCAGCTGCTTTTGGTAACTGCCGAAAGGTCTTCCGATTCATCCGAGTCACTTGCAGCAAGAAGTCTGGTGTGAGTGAAACAATCTCTGATGACGGGATTTCGGTCAGTAACATCTATGGACGTCTCGGGCGATGGGTAGTGTTTTCCGAAGGGCAGTTCAACTGATCTACTGCTCTGGCGACATCGATCAAACTTTCCTGCCCTCCATGGCCCGTAACGAACTGGTCCACCTAACGAGGCGGAAGTTCATGAGGGACTCTACCTTAGATTTTTGACATCTAAACTATCCTATAGAAGTATTATATCTTGAGTTTACTACTTAATTGTGATTTAGAATTAACTGGATGAATGAGTAAAAACATATTATATGTGAATACTCCAGATACATTTGATTCGATTACAACTGACTGATGAAGGAAGTAGACGGTTGTACCAAAAATAATAGTTATCCGTTTAAATATTTCATAATAAAACGATAACTTACCATCCAGTTAAAACTTAGCTACTCTGGCTGTGCAACATTTATGATGCCCAGTCATCATTGCTTCTACATTCAGTGGATCAGTTTTTACTTCCTTGAATATATCGCGTATATAAAAGTGGGATCTCATATTCGCGATTATTGTCCGACGAGTGATGAAATGCTAAAGCATACTTCGATTTACGAACCTATTTTTGTATAACGTCTCTGCGGCTTTTATAACTAGTACTGTCTCCTGACATTGAAATTAGTTAGAAGAATTTAAGTGGCTTCTCGTACCATAACATAACGTGCTGAATGCATATCAGGTAGGTTAAGTTCACTTCTATCGACCCATCATTAGTGTCCTAATATAATTCAACTCAATGACTTAATGTAATATTAGACATCGTTCAAAATCGAAATCAGTGACGAACCTTATTTAGGTTAGTAAAAAAAAGCAAAATATATTTTGTTTATAGCATTGCTTGGTCTTTTTTATTTGTTTATTTTATAATTATGAGATAGTTTTTCATTTTCTATTTTTTCACTTAATTATTTGTTATGAAGCCCATTGCTTAATGCTCTTTTTCTGCCATACTATTCTGTACGGATAAAAGTAAATGAGATACTCTAATTGATGAACGGTACTTTGTACGGATGATGTTGATTTTTCTAGAACTAAACTCTTAAAGGATTTTGAAAAGAGCAAGAACAAACATTCTAGCAGAATAGCATGAATTCATTTTTATTTCGTTGGTTCTCGTCAGCTGCTTACAACCTGTGATATTTAAAATCATAATTACATAACGGGTTTAAATTACTTACATGAAAGTTCGATTGGAAGTTATATTGAAAATATATTCGTATAGTATAGCAAGGGTGTAAATAAATATAATAAACTGAATATTGTAAATATATACCTTATGTGATGAAAGAACATTGTGACATTGTGACTCATGATCTTGACCATTGAAATTACTACAATCTCCACAAAAACCCATCTGATATTAATCAACATATGCTCACTAGTGACTGGCTTCACGAGGTATATCCTGGAGTTCTAGTGAGAAGTAGTGACCAGTGGAGTTCAACCAGGTCTGTTGTGAGATAGTAACTCACTGAAGACAATGGTGAATGTGTCGCTCAATTTCGTGGATTAGTTGAAGCTAGACATTAACACCGTCGGATGCCGGCTCAGTGGTCTAGTGGCTAAGTGCTCGGGCGCGAAACCAGTAGGTCCTGGGTTCGAATCTCGCAGGGGGCGAGGTCGTGGATGCGCACTGCTGAGGAGCCCCACAATAGGGAGAAACGGCCGTCCAGTGCTTCCAGGTTTTCCATGGTGATCTAGCTTCAACTGACTCATGATCTTAACCATTGAAATTGTGACAACAGTTCAAACGGCTAGAAACAAGTACACATTGATAGGAATAAAATGAGTAGAGTTCAGTTGATAAAATAAGATAGTTGGAATAAAACTCAATGGTGTGATAAATGCAAGAAAGAGTTTAAAGAAAAGAAAAAAATATTAAGATATAACGAAGGAATATTAATTACCAAGGCAAGGAAAGATTAATAACCATCTTCTTTTGAACACATAAATTAGGCTTTTGGCGCCTGATAGCAACTGCTTCAGCAAACTTCAGAAGACTGGAGTTTGGCTGCTTACTAATCACCTTGAATGATTGTAGGGTATCGACCTGGTGTCCTGTCTCGAGGAGATGTTTAGTGATTGCACTATTTAGAGTCTCTCTTTCTCTTGTTCTGAGGCTTTTTGGAACATGTTCAAAAAATCTGAGATATGCCCTCCTTTCTGTTCGGCCAATGTAGCTGCTTTGGTAGGTACACGTAAATTTATAAATACAATTGGCGGTAACATGAAAAGGATGCTTATCAACCTCTGATTGAGTTATTAAACATGTTGTTTTATACAGAATTAGAAGTTTGGCCGCCTGATAAGTTCTGGCTAGCGCAGTATTCAGTCTCCTGTTGATTGTGTTTGCAACATCATCACCTTTGAAGTCAAGATTTATAGCTATTGATTTTTTATTGACCGTAATTACTTCAGTATTGTTTTCTTTTTATCAATAAACTTTTGTGGGTAAAAGTTGTCTCGTAAGCATTTTTAAATATCACAGGTTGTAAGCAGCTGAAGAGAACCAACGAAATAAAAATGAATTCATGCTATTCTGCTAGAATGTTTGTTTTTGCTCCTTTCAAAATGATAAAGGGAACTATGTGTATGAAATCTTACAGGATTGTGGAAAGCGACTATCGGTGATTAAACCTTACAATCGTCAATGATTTTCTAATGATTTATTGTAATTTAATATTAACTAAACATTATGGATCAATGTAAATCCGAAATTAATTATCGTCTATTGATCAACACTTTTATTTGACACATTTCTACACGGTATGAATTCGTATTTTTCGGGGTGTATACATTTGCTATTAATTTGTAAGTACACTCGTAAGCAGGAAACCGAGTTCCATAACTTCCTGCTTATTGGTAATTAATCTTCAAAAAAAACCGAAAAAATGTATTTTCCGTTTCATATGCTGCAGAATTATTTACATATGACTGTGTTTCATATTCATAATTATTAATTAACTTAGTTTTATAATCTTTTTACTTTTTTTAGATTGGACACATAAATTGTCATGCAACATCCACCCCTGTTGGTGATTTAACAGAGCTGAGCGCTATTGCACAAATGTTTGGTGAATATTTTAATCCTCAATACCAGACACCTGTTGTAATCAATTCAATTAAAGGTCACCTTGGTCACTGTTTGGCAGCAGCCGGTGCCATAGAAACCGTGTACGCTGCTTTATCTGTTAATCAGAATCAAATTTGTGGAAACCTCAACCTGCATAATCCTATCTCAATTTCTGAGTTGTTGGAGGTTTTAAAATCTAATTCCAGTTCTTCAACTAGTATATCTTCTAATGAAAAGTGTATAGATCTGTTTAGGAACTATGCCGTACTTCCTAGACACGATCAAACACAAGTTACGTGGCCCGATAGTCATCGACGTATTGTTATGACTAACTCATCCGGATTCGGTGGGACAAATGGAACTCTTTTAATTTCAGAATGGACGGATTAGTATAATATGTATCTCATTGTATTTTATAGATTCTATCCAATAATTTTTCATCAATGATTAAGTCCTTTCAGTGTTTGACAACGGGGTTAATGTTTGTTTGCATATATTTAATTAGTGAATGCAGATACTGCTGAGTGTTAATTGGTTTACTTGCCAGACAAATCCGAAATTAAGAAAATAATTAATACAGTCATTCAAATTTTTTAACTGCTTTACTTAGATATACAAAAGAAATTAGATTGTAATCTCGTACACTTAATCTCTAAAGCAAACGTGAACATCTCGGTCAGATTAAGATTTGACGAACAATGTGAATTCATTCAGTTTTTCTAGTTCCTTATCAGGTGAATACAACTTGGTTTGCTATTTATCTTATTTTGACAATTTGTCGTTTGATTGTGCGACTGTTTCTTTATAAATCTTTTCTCACTCCATAAGTATTCATGTCCTTGTCGTAACTCATCAGGAAAGTAGCTAACAAAAAGTACGATTAGTCCTAGCTAACAGATGTAAGATTACTTAGTCGTTATGTTGAAAAGTACGAACTAAAGAGATTCATCTGCGATATCTTGTTAAGTATTTTAATGAAGTTGTAGAATAAGTTAGTTAATGTTTGAAATCTTAGTTTACTTGATCGAACAGTTCAAAATGACTCAAATATACATGTTATTTTAAGTAACTTAGCATTCAATAACTTGAAATCAAACCAGTTCCTACAAAAAATTTAGTGATAGACATAGATTAGTCGACTTACTGATGTGTAACGTATATAAGAGTCGTTTGAATATTGTAAACGATAAACTTATTTATAATACATTTTAAGTCGATGCACTCATTCCTTTCCATAACTGGACAGAGAATGTTATAGAAATTACAATATTTGGTTCCTAACAGCGAATATTCATTAAACTGTAAACATTTTTCAGTTTGACCCAGCAGCAAATATATTACTGCAATTTATTAATAGAGTGAAAACTAGTTAAGTCCATCAATCATTTCTGTTGGTCTTCGTGTCAGCAGTAAAGGATATGCAAACACGATAAAGATACTGAATCGATGAATGTTAAACCACCATTGAAAAACGGGAAGCACTGGACGATGGCGGTCTAACATTCATCGATCAATGATCTCAATAAAAAAACTAAACAATCTTCACAACCCCATACTAGTAAAAACAAAAAGTAAACAGGATGCCCAGTTAATTATATATATGTATGCTATTAAAAAACTTGTCAACAAGGTGATCTGTTCTACAGTAGGTCAGTTGCGCCCTGAATAGCTTGGTAGTAACGTCTCAGACTGTAAAGTTGGTCGGTTGAAGTCCAAGTTCTCCTCGTACCATCAATTCCCCCAAGGCTACAGGTACGTTTTGCCTTAGCGATGTCAACAAAAAGCATTCTCTTGGAGCCTGACTGTTCTGGCCTCAAGCTGGTCGATATCAAAAATGGACTTCTAATGACTTGTAGCAGGTTGAGACAATGGTTGAGCATTTTCTACTTAAACTGTTATAAAATTTACCAAAACCCATGGATAATAGTTACCTGACGTTTAGCAAGTCAGAAAATGAAAAGATTCAAGTCTGAGACGCGTCTAATTGTTCTTTTACAATCGTTATCAAGTCTATATTTGAAATATTACTTCGAGTACTAAAGACTAATCCAGTACTCCGACTTGTATGTGACTTTTCCTGTGGCAAATTTTATGGGATTGCATTCCTTTGTCACTTTTTGAGATTATACATATATACACAAAATCATACGAGCCTTAGAAAATTTCAGTTGATTAAATATCATTAATGTGTAGTAGTAATTATTATAATAATGTTAGTTTCAGGTCATGAAATTTTCAAGACCGAAAATTCGTCATTCTTATTGGTTTGTTTTATTAGCCAATTACCACGATACTTTTGACCTATTTCAATATAGAGAAATATGTAGGAGGATTAGAGAAGAAAGTAAGCATTAACCAACCAAAGAGGATTATATAACTCAATATTATCCATCTATTTGTCAATTCTCAATAAACAATGTATATAGCTTATCTTTTCCATAATTTTATCAATGGTCAAACCACCAACGAAAAACGATCGAAAATTTCAATATGTAAATGTATATTGTATAAGTTATTTAATTGATGAACAGGTTACAGTAATCACATGTTACGATAAATGTATCAATTTAGCGAATTTTTACTATGCTAATCTAAGGTTATTGTTTAATGAACACTTCACATTTATTCATTATGGAGAAACAGAGATTTCATTCGGTGCGAAAATCTTGTCACTTAGCATATATATAGAACCTAAGAAATACATAGTTTTCATATTTTAAAGATGAGTAATGTAAGTATTCGATAGGTTGTCAAGATAATAAGGAATAAAGTGTCTTGCATAAAAAAACGTAATACTAGCCTATAAAAATGGACTCACATGTAACATTAAAATCACAAGAAGGTATGATCTAGGATGTTTAAAAAAGACAGGTGAAATAAGTTACGAATGTTCGTAATTTGAAATATCAAAGATGGATTTTTCATGATTACGATAACTTATTATATGGTCATCACACAATTCAAAAGTTTCAAAAAAAGAATACATCAACCTTCTCGATAAATATAGCCTACTGTTGATGCCTAATTCGTCAATAAAACTGTTAAATGTTAGATCTGAAGCTCAGAGAGTTATGTTATCAGGCTATATGTGTGTGATATTTCCTATTTCTATGCTGTAATATATATTATATATGATGCTTTTATTACATCTCTACGTTAACGATATTACTTCTCTATTTAGAATCGAATTTTATAACCTATACATGGTGACATGTACAGCATTTCAAGTATAGAGAGTATTAAAGTTGTATGAATTTCGTAGCTTCACATCATGAATTGACTTTAATTAAAGAACCATTGAAAATTAGTAAGTACTAGATAGTCTTTTCTTTCTCACAGGGGACTCCTCAGCAGTGCCCATCCAACTCCACCACGAATCAGACTCAAGTATTTCAGACCACCGACTTGGTATCCAATAGGTTTACTTTCTAACTTCAATCACTTCGCGACATTGCTCAACTATTCATTCATTGGTGATAATCTCCTTACATCTGACAGCAGAATTAAGCGTATTTTAAAATATTAAAATTTAATGCCTCTTGAAACTTAAATGAGAGTTATGCTTTAAATAATCATAGCAGATTTAAAAGTACAATCTGTGCACATTCTACACTCTGACACAGAAACATTAATAAAACAGTAATTCACTTATTAGATACATATTATTGAACTAGACTGTTTATGGATGTGCACTGCTGAGGAGTCCCATACTAGGACGAAACGGCCGTCCAGTGCTTCCAGGTTTTCCATGGTGGTCTAGCTTCAATTGACTCATGATTTCAACCATTGAAACTACTAAAATCTCCACAAAATCCCTTCTGATAAATAGACTGTTGTTCAGAATTAATTGAAGATGGTTAGAATTGCTGGGCACTTTGGATGAATACTGAATTTATAGCCCATCAAGGGATATAATACTTTTTGTTCTACTGTTTGTTGATTCGTGAAATGTTTTCCTGTATTTGAATTTCTGAATTAGCATAACTGATTTCATTAGTGGTAAGACTAAAAGATATAACATTTTAATTATTTGACATTAATGAAATAAGTGTTTACCTGTTTGAACGTTTTAACACGGACCTCACTAACAAAAATTGTAGTAACAATTGACGGATTTTCCACTTTTCCTTGAAAATTTTTATCAATAATCATATTGAACTCTTGTGGAATAGATTCACTTATCTCATTGTCCTACTGGGGAAAAGTTGTTTGAAATTGAACGGTTTGGGACTTCTTTGTTTTGCACCCACCTTTTCCATTGTTGTCAATGAATACAAGAATGCATTTATTCTTTAGCTGTGAGGTACAGAACTTCAGAAACCAGAAAAAAATAACTGACAGATAGTACTTTGTTCTCAGCGAATTCTTAAGTGAAGCTGTATTCCAGTATGGAATTTAATTTAATTTACAAGAATGAACAGTCAGTTATAATATCTGTTCTCATCTTAAATATCGTCTATGATTAAGGCTACTTTTATTTTCATGGATTACAAATTTTATCACTCCATTATCTCACTCTAACAACTTAGTGAATTATATATCATAGGAGAGTGATGTAGGATGTTGAATTATCTATATATTTTACTAATTAGAAAATATCCTAATAGTGGTCAATTTTATAACTGAATGAACTAGCTAAATCTATAAACTTATCAAGTTTGATATGCCTCATTTTATACAATTAATTATAAGCACTATCTCAAGATGAATACATTCTGTCTATATCTATGGCAATTTCTATATTTCTAGGTCAGATTAAGAGCTAAAATTTAGAATTATCAGATAAATTAGTAGAAATAAGAAATTAATGCATACACATGTATTCGATTTTTTTATGTAAGAACGTGAAAACTTTAGATTAAATGTCAACTGAGACAGTCTCTTTTATCGAATAAGATCAATATGACAAAAAAACCCATTTCTCTTTTAACCAACTTGTGCTATAACAGAATCACGATTAAAATGATGAATATACACCTTAGTTACTAAGGCTATTTAGCTGTTACAAATGTGTATCATTTTATATTACCATTAGTGTACGACTTGAGGATCAATGAATAATTAGACTTTTAAGATATTTAATTGTTTTCAACAACTAAACTATAAATGTATGATTATTGGACAATTGGTAGTTTCAGTAATCTAACAGGTAATTCATAAAATTTACTTAAATATAGGCTATTTGTCATTCGCTACAAAAGTATTACATTCAGCTTTTCATTATCATCAATATCAATAATAGTT